TGTTTTGTTTTTTAATTTACTTGTTTATTCTTTCACTAATACCACAGTGTCCCGATTACCGTAGCTTGATAGTAGGTCTTGAAATCAGGGAGTGTCATTCCTGTGATTTGTTCTTCTCCTTCACTATTGTGTGGGCTTTTCTCAGTCTTTTGCCTCTCCATATAAACTTTAGAGTCAGTTTGTTGATATCCACAAAGTAATTTGCAGAAATGTTTTATTGGAATTGAATTGAATTGAAAGATCAGGTTGAGAAGAACTTAAATCTTGATAACACTGAGTCTTCCTATCCATGAACATGGAATTCCTCTCTATTTACTTATACATTCTTTGATTTCTTTTATCAGAGTTTTATGGTTTTCTTCATATAGATCTTGAACATACTTTGTTAGATTTATGCTTAAGTATTTCAAAAATATTTGGTGCTAATGTAAACCAAGTCAGTTTTTTAAAAGTAAGTTGAACTGAGTTATTGCTGTTGTTTTTAAACAAGTTGGGTGTTTGTTCCACTAATTTTGCAAATTAAGCCAAATTGGTTTGCAGAAGTGGAAATACAATCAAGTTTTCAGCTCTTTATTTATACCTAGTGCTTCTATTCATAGAGGATAATTATTAACTAGACCTTACTTTTGGTTATCTGCCTACTCATAAGGTCAGAAGACTCTGAAATTGAATATTATTGTGTGTTAGAATTCACATTTAATATAAAAAATAAAATGCATTATTCAAGTCAGAATATTTCCTTGGGTACTGAATCCCATACCTTCCACTGATGGAATTCAGAAGAAGAATGAGGAAGTGTTTATCTCTTCTTCATGGACCCTTCCCTTTCTAGCCAAGTAAAAGCTCTGGATCTTAGAAAGGAGAATGAATCTGTGTGGCTCACATTTCCATATTTCATTTGAAATTAAGATAGTGGCCAGCCACACATTTCTCTCCCTAGTGACTGGAGCATTACCATCGTATTCCTCAGTGTTTAAATGCTATGGTCCTAGGAAGCTGATGTGCTGAGACCCCCTAATCCACATGGTGTGGACCAGGCATAGTATGAAATCCATGCAAGAAACACTTTCCAGATTCCAACAGATAAATTTTCATGCATTGATCCATTAT